CAAAATTATAGAAGACCAACAATTTCAGACATTTCAAATCTGACCGTGCAGGTTATGATGCACAATTCGGATTTTTGTTAAATCCGATCTTTTTGTGCGGTCGGTCACATTACAACAACGAATGCGGCATCTAATGTGAACGGAATGCGTCCGTGAAGTGACCCGCTTGCGCACAAAGCAACAAATTGCTTTCCGCGCCTGTTTGTGTTGTCGAACAATGAAAAAATCAGATATGTGTCACATATTGTTAATAAATTGGAATTGACCTTCAGTGTGAACATAGCCTAAATCTCTCATCCTATTGACTTTTGACCATGAAATGTAACATTAATTGTGAATACACATTTTAAAACCAGATGTGTTTCTTCTGCTGCTCAGCTGACACCTACCTCCCCCCTTACGAGTTTATGGCACTGAGAATCATAACATATAAATCACTTATTCATACCCATCACTGATGGTCTTGTTTGCTTCTAGATTTCACAGAAAGACAACAATATGAATTTCAGTCTATTTCATAGATGCCAAAAAACTCCTCACAGGAGCTCTAAGTGAAGGGTAATTCTAGTAATTATAAAAAAACCTTTTTCATTTTTATTTTCTTTCTATTTTACGGGTTATGTTATGGCTATATTTTTGAACTCCAGGTAGACATAAAATATGTTCAAGTAGGGTTAAATGATACCAGAATCTCTTGTGACTTTGGTGAAATCAGCACATAACCCTCTGAGTAACTTTAAAGTCTACTTTTTGACCTGACTTTCTCACTGTCCCAAAGGTGTGTTACTGAGCTGCCTTTTTCCCTGACCCCCTCAGCTCCAGCCTGTTTCATCCGGATCACTGCGGTGCTGTAATTCCAACCTTTACTTCACTTTAGGGTTGGTCAGTCGCCTGGTAGGCTTACAAACAGGGAGACAGATAGAAGTTAAGTGTATGTGTGTCAAATAGTCTGGATGGATAAGGGTGGTGGTAGTGCTGAGGGGGTGTTGCTTATGAAACAGACTGCTGTGTCACACAGTGACATAGCCAGCATAGCTCCCTGTTTAGACAGCACACCCTCCTCCTCCTCCTCCTCCTCCTCCTGCACCTGCAGCTCTCTGCTCCACAGGTATCAGCTGGAGCTGCTGAGTCAGAGCTGAGTCTGTCTGAACTTCCCAAACTCACTGCTTCTGTCAGTGAGGAGAGGTCTGCACCGCACTTACACGACAAGTTGGCTGGCAGTTAAATTTGGCGGGAAATGTCCTGGATTGAATTCTAGACGTGGAGTTACGTCACATCTTGTGAATTCACATGAGCTGATATCAATAGCTGCCCCTGGTGTTTATCCCTGTATCTAGAGACAAAGTCAGCAATGCCAGGAACAAGCTGTGACCCTCCATGTGACAAAAAGTGTCAGGGTTTATAGAACAAGTCCTTATTATTGGAAACACACTTCCCCATGGGTCAATATGAATAAGTCTGATATCCCTTAGTACTTAAATGACACATATCAGTTTTATTTGTGTTTTATTTATTGTTTTATTTCAGCAGCTTTTTCGGCACTGAAAGTCAGTGTTTGACCTCAATACAAACATTTTTTCCTCAATAATAAAGACAGAGTTTTTCTGTTTTATAAAACAGTAGGTATCATCTGTTATTGTCACTATTTCCACACTTTTATTCATGTGTAAATGTTCACTAATGAGTTTGGTTCTGCTCAAGGTTTCTGCCTATTAAGGGAAGTTTCTCATGACTCTGGGTCTACGTGCTTGCTCATGGTGGGTCTCTTTAAAAATATTACAGGGTTAGTCCAGACTGCTGTTCATGTGGAGTTACGTACGACTCATTTCAGTGTGTCATTACACATATTCACAAATACATGACACCTATGTTTGGTTAGAGGGCAGTGAAATCATGAGGTCTGTTTATCGACAGGTAAGGTGTTTGGCTTGTGGGACTCCTGTTTTTGCAGAGAATCAACCCCCATCCAAAAATAACATCCAACTTACTGTGTCTGTTGTTCAACCACCAAAACGTAATGACACCTAGTCGAAACCCAAGAGCTTAACCAGATTGTACTTTTGCCCTCAGATAAGTGAGTCGCTCTGTCAGTAACTAGTATGTCAGACTTTCAAAAGTTTCTTGTTTGTTTAAATCAAGTATGGTAGATGTCCTAGTAGATGTCCTTTTCAAATGTTCATTTAGCTTTCAAGGGTTTTGCTTGTGAAAAAGTGCTTCTGTCATCTCCACCCACAAGAGAGAAAAGTGAAAGGGTTGATATTATTTGAGTAAATTAATTTGTTGTAGATAAAAATGAGAGTCCAAATGCAATAAGATCCCATGAAGACAGGATGCCAATTTTCGTTAATGAAGTCTGGAATGATGGTGATCAGTAAGTGATGATTTAGTTAAATCTTACCACGTGAAGATCTGATGGATGTGATTTATTATCCATGAAGTGTCTAGATGGATCTCTGGACCTGAAGCCGAAACACAATCTGATCTGCTTAGACGAACGCAAGAAGTGGAGATGGGACCGGTCCAGATGCACTGTAACAAAAGCAGGAGTTCAGTAAATAATCCTGTTATTCTCTGATGGAGACAATTTGAGAAATCTACAGAAAGCAAGAGCAAATCAGAAATTTTGAAGTTCCCGAGTCCACTGGCTCTGCTGATATCATGGGAAATATGCATGAATATAAACGCAGTTTTATAAAGAGAGCTTTTGCCAAACCTCAACTCCCTCCTTGCACATATGTTTTAAACTTTTTGGAGCTGTGTGCACGTGATAGCAAGCAGTTTCGAAGTAAAAAAATGTCTGACTTCATGTGAAATTTAACCATATCACTGTGCTACATAATAAAATTTAAAGACTGAGGTTTTGCTCCTGTTTGACTTTGAAGATTGCTCTCATTATTGCACTTAAATTGCACCAAAATTATTGGTCTTTCTACAAACACTGAGTGATATACTGGCCTTCCATTGCAAAACTGAACCTTACGCAAATAACTTACATTAACAGGCAAAATGCACAGACTCCCACAATCGAGTTTCCTCTCCAAAAAATAGCAATCACCATCAATTACAGATAAATACTCCAGTACAAACAATCAATGATTATTAAAAGTTACTAAGTGAAGTCAGGGGTTATGTATCAGGGCAGACTGTCCTCCACTAGATGAACAAAACTGGAAAGCCTTTGGTTCTCTCTGTGGTCACAGGTTAACCCCCGCTGTCTGAGCATCCCAGCTTCAAACCAGAGACCAGAGCTCCCTCTAGTGGATCAAATGAGTTAAAACAATAGGCACTTAAAATTGAATTATTAAACTGTATTTGCCTGTGAGTGATGGTCTATATGATGTTTGGGTCTAAGGTATACGGTATTTACAGCAAATCAGATATTAATTTGCCTCATAAAGAGAAAAAAGAGCTCTGCAAGTGACCTAAATCTACAAAACCTTTAAGGTCCCTCTGACCTTTCAATCTTACACTCTCCCAACTTGCAGCAAATATTGCAAAGCTATACTCCAACTCACTTCTGCACTTACTGTCTCCATGGCTTTCTCATAGAAGGGTAAATTTTATTATTTGAAGTACCATTCCTGCCGTTTTAGCTTAACCAAATATACAAATAGCTCCAGCTTTTCCACACCTTTAAAACTCCTGTGAGTTTTTCTCTGGTAATAAAACAGACTCAAATCCATACTGATGATTTTAAAGACCCACTAAAGAAAAAGAGGATGGATTTAAACATATTGTGACATGCTTAAATAAGCTTTTCTTTCCCCTAGAACATTTTGAATGACAAAAACAATCATGGACAGTAATAAATGTGATTGCAAATGGAAAACACAAGAAAAAAAACACTACTCATACATGTACAGTCCAAAATCACATAAGAGGTAGGAGGCACACATTAATAAAATGTTCTTTACATTAGTTTTAAGATATTAAAAATAAGATATCATTACCTAAATAAAGGTTAGGGGCCTTGTCTACGTTGTAAATAGGGGAGAGTGGGGTAAGATGAGCTGGTTTTCATATTTCGGATCACTACATCAAGTCAATCATAGTTTTGTCTCTAACTAGTGTATCTGCATTTATTTCAGGATGTTGTGCATCCCTGCAAACCAACAGAATGAGTGTAAACATAACTGTCTTGATAATATAGCATGCCAAAAAAAGTGGTCTCCTATGGTCAACTTACCCCGTGTATGGGGTGAGTTGACCATAGGAGAGGGGTAAGCTGAGCCGTATCCCTACTACCCCCCCCCCCCCCACACACACACACTCTCCCTCACCTTCTCTCTCCCTAAATAACAGTCACTTATTCACATTCATGTGTATTTTTATCTAAAATGGTGGACTTTTATCCTAGGTTTTTGACCTCATGTTGTAGCTCATAGATACCACAATTGACGTATAAAACAAATTTAAAAGTATCTTGTTTGGTCTGAACACAATTCTAATAAAACCTATGACAGACTAAATTCAATTTCAATAGTAAAAAATGTTTTTTTGTAAATAAATGTCGAACCCCTTCACCCATGTGCTTCTAACCTTCACAGACTCCATGAATTGATGCCCATCTCCTTAATATTTGGTCACATGATCAATTTCTTTTACCAAGCAACAGGGAGTGGCTCAACTTACCCCACTCTCCCCTACCCTAAGATAAAATACTTTGGCTGGTATTGCAAGTATGAAACCTAAATTCAGTGTTCAAACACTATCACTTTGTAAATAATGGAGAGTGCGAAACAAACACACCCCAACTTTGCACACAATTTTTACCTCCACATTATTAATCTACAGTGTGAAAAGCTCAAATAGTGAGTGCAATGAAAACATTTAGACCACCAGGAGTAAAGGCCTCCATTTGAGGGGAGTTCAAAGTTAATGTGCAAAGCAAGTTTGTCCATTTTCTACTAAAACCAAACTTGTCTCTGAATAACCTACTTCTCTGAGACCGTTTAGTCCATACTTTGGTCTGTGAGTGGAGCTGTTTCACTGACTGCCGCACTGAGTGAATAGGAAGCTGTCATGGCGTCGCCCACTCCCTTATCTCCCTCCTGCAAACTTAAAAGTTACCAAACTGGTTGAGAGAGACGCTCACTGACTGCAAACACGATTATTTTTGATGATGTTGACGTGAAATAACCAGCTACAGATGATACTGGTAAACGCCTTGGACAGACAACATGGCCGTGCACAATGTTTGGAAAACTGCAGCGCCATGACAAAACTCTCTGCAAAATAACTCACAGTTTCAGTTTCATTTCTCCCGAAAAGGCGTCATCTCTGTTCTTCATCTCCCTCTAAACTGTCGTAGATTCAGTTCGCCTCCTTTAACCACAGAGAGCAGTCATTATGCAGAAGGAAAAGTCTTCAAAAAGCAGGTAAATACTCCGTCAAAGGTGATATTAGACAGGTGAATCATATTTTAACAAGGCTTTGGTCGTTCTGCAGTTCTTTTGGTTCAGTTTCTACTTTTGGAGAGACCAAAGTTATATTGAATGCTCCTAAAAATCGTGCACAGTCTACTGACTAACCGACTTACCTGGTCAGGCTTCACTGCAATGACTGATTCACAGAGACGTTTCAATTCCTCGAGTTTCAACTTCTGTTTTAGGATCACTTTGTAAGCTTATATTTCACGGTAAATTGCTGTTTCGTGTCAGTGTCTGCAGCAAGTTCCAAACCTGTAGGTCGTATACAGAAATACTTGACAGGTTTCAATACACTTTATTAGTTGTATAATTTCTAAGATTCTTACCATATTTATTATAATATGGAAGTAGTAGCAGAAGCTTCATCAGTTCAGAATTTTATTAAACATTTCTCTATGGAGTTGAGAATGAATGATGGAACCAAGTTTTGGTGAAATGTTTTTCATTGGTGAGCACCTTCACCCATGCAGTGCTTCTAAAATAATCTTCTGTTGTGTAAGTGACCAATTATCCAAATATAACTTCATATACTTTAACTATTAGCAGTTTCATCAGCTGTTTCAGAGTGTCAGGAAGACTGGAGCACACCTGGAGGCCAAGTGAAAATGAACCAAGCGCAAATTTTAGCAGAATCAATGTTGTATAGTGCTGTGTATTTATGAAGAAAATCTAGCTTAGATATTTGCTTTTTCTGTCTGTCAGTTTGATCCTGTTATATGACTTAAATCCACATGAACAAAGAGTGTCGATTCAGTGAGCTCACGGTTATTGACAACTACCTTTTCTGTCTTGATCGAACCCCAACCTCCTTCAGTTTAAGAGATCATCAACTCTACCACTGAGCCACATCGGGCCCTTATGAATGCTCTTTAAAAAAACTGACATGAAAATTGACTTAATAAATAAAAAACAGAAGAAGCCAGGAATTCATTGTTTATTGGTTGATTTTTTAATCGCCAAAACAGTTGATATAATACTTATTTTAAAAAATCAATTATGAATCCCCACTATTTATTTTAATGATTCTAGATGATTCTATATCTTGTTATCAATGAAATACCTCATATTTTTTCTGAGTAATGAAATGAAGATGAAAAAACCCAAATTCATTAGCTGAAAGTTTTTATTTTTTACCATTACCTCCAGGAAAATTCAAAGGGATGTTTTTCATTAGACCTCAACAGTCACCATCATGAGTTCCTCATCTAATATATGCAACTGTTTTCTTTATTGGCAACAGCTGTGGATTTTCTTTAGCACCACCGATTGCATTTAGCCTGGCTACAAAATCAAACGTGAAGGAGGAATCTCCATCTTTATTTCCAGGTACAACTCTAAGCTGTTCCTTTCCCAGCTAAAAGTCAAAGCTCTGGCATTATTTATGTATTAGGAAATCAGTTGGGTGCACAGACTTGGTAGTGGAATTGCCACAGAGCCCTTCAGAAACAGGAAAATGATAGGTTTGTGCTATCAAAAGCTGTCATCTAAAATCAATTTTTCAGAAAGAAAAAAAAAGAAAAACTGAACCAAGTTGACTCCTGGTATAATAGCTCAGTTGTTTAATTTCTTTGGTGGATTATTCATTTATATACAGTAGGAAACATACTTGTGTGTCCCTCTATATCAGGTATCACACTTTGTGGATTTAGAGGTTAAGCACATCTGCACATTTCTCTTCATGCAGAAAAAAAACTTAAGTATTGTGCCAAAGATGGAGATAAGCAGCTTTAAGTATTACTACCACACTCACACTGTTAATATAGTTTCCACCAAAGCATTCAGAGAAGGAAGACAAACTCACCTGGAACAGTTTAAAGACCTGTAAAGATGATAATTGATCTGTACGTTTTATAAAACAGTATGTATATTAATCTTGTCTGTTATGACAGGTCTCTCAAAGGCTCTTGAACCCGGGGTGGGTGTGCAACAAGGTCTCAACACTGTGGCAGCAACTTCTTCACAAGATGAAGCAAAGGCCAAACCTTTGTTTTCGTTTTTAGGTAAGATTTAAGACTGAGCAGGGTAACAGACAAAGGTTCATCCAGCCACCCATTATCTTAACCGCTTATTGCACATACTGCGCATCCTATTCAGAGTGGGCTGCAGCCCATCCCTGCTGTCTGAACAACCCTGAAACAGGCTGCCAGTCTTTCACAGGGGTGACATAGAGACAAATAACATTCACATGCAGTAACACCTACAAGCAAGTTAGACTGATCAGTCAACCTCACATGCATGTCTTTGGACTGTGCAAAGTACCTGCAGAACCTGGAGAGAACCAAACCATGCCTGTAAAGAAAAGGGTAAAAAAAGTCTCTGCCAAGCCAGGGACTGGAACCAGGAACCTCTTTGAAGCAAGACAATCATCACTGGCAGTTAGAGGAAAAGGTGTTTTATTACTTTTTTTTTTTTTTTTCGTGTTTTTATTCATATTTGCGAACTAGCAAGTGCAGGCATCCAGTATCCTTTATTTAAGTTACCATATCATACATGTTTCACAGAACAAAAGTGTTATCATCTGTTGGTACAGCATATGAACTGTCTGTATTGAAGGAGAGTGTCCTAGATTTTCAACATTTCTCCATCAGTTTCAGTCCTAATGATGCCTGTGTAATGACAGTCTTTCAAAAGACTCCTGAACCAATCTTTGGGGCTCTGAAACTTGCATAATCTATTTTTGATCTTTAACTTTGTTACATCTTCTCAAACTTGCCCTGCATCTTTGGCCATCTAACCATGGATTTTATAAATACATGTATCAGTATTTGATGGCTTTATTTTAAAGTATTTCATCTTTGAATACAGTCAAAGAGCTCTAAACTTTGCATATACTATTGAACCTGAACAACTTTTCAACTCTCTTCAGCTAAAATGTTGACCACTCCATGGAGAGACGTGACGTGGACAGAGGAGTGAGTAAAAACTGTGATTTTCTCTAGAAATTAGATTTGATCTGTTATCATAACTACACATTTCTGTTCATTCAAAGCTTGAAGACACCCTTTTGTTGTCTTATCCTTACTCCTTGTGTCTAAATTTTTAATTCAGGCAGAGGACAAGCCTCATGGAGAAGCTCAGCTCCTACAGACCTTGTAGTGAGGGGGTCACTCAGGCTCGGGTGCTCCTCCTGGGTCCAGTCGGTTCTGGAAAGTCCAGCTTCATCAGTTCAGTCCAGTCAGTGTTTAATGGAAGAGTGACGAATCAGGCCATGGTGGGCTCCTCCTCAACCAGCTTCACCAAGAAGGTAAGAAGAGTATTTCAAACTCTCTTGTGGACATAGGCTCAAATTCAGTGTTTTTTTTCCCCCATACAGACAGTGTCAACTCTACAAGCAAAATTACAAAGCTCTGCAATTCTATCAAAAAGAGTAAATTCGAAAGATTTAGAGGGGGGGACTAGAATTTTAAAAATGTAAATACAGACTGTACATATTCAAACCTAGAAAAAGCTTTATGAAAGCAACCTAAAAACTGTTTAGTACAATCTCAGGGGAAACTTGCTATCAGCAGGTCTTTTCCATGAACTCTGAAGTTATGTTTGTATCAGCTGCAGTCATTCAACATCCGTGGAGAGAAGGAAAAGGGTCCTACTGGTCTGGTGCTGTGCGATTCTATGGGTCTTGCAGCCGGAGAGACAACGGGGCTGGCACTCCATGACATCCTGTCAATCATTAAAGGCCATGCACCTGAGGGGCACAAGGTGAGCAGTATGCTTTAGCAGGTAGGGTCTGCAGAGAACAATGCAAGGCAGTGATTTTGTCTAAAATGTCTTACCTGAATTACACATAATCTTGTACAAACTCAGGAGGAATCGTAGGCTGTGTAAAAAGATTAATGGCACAGACATTTAAGAGCGATTTCATTTGGAGCCAAACTCAACTTTCTTGAGCTAAATAATTTTTATCGTCTTTCATGTGAAACCAAAAGATTTTTTGGTTGTGGAAAGCATTTTGCCCTAAAATATTTCTCACCGAGTAAAACTGATCGAGACTGATAGTACTGGTATTCTTACTTGTAAAGCTTTGTCAGCAGTGTCTATATGTATATGCCAAGATGCATTATGCTCCAGCAGCTGCAGCCTGTAGACTGTTAAAAAAAAAAAGCTGGATGACACCAACAGGCCAAGAGCTCTGCCTACTGACTGGCTGTAGTAGTGCAGGTCTTAAAGCCCGCCTGCTTCATGTTTGAAGATGGGTCAAGGATCAAACCACACAATTAAAATGCAGATCAGATTTTTTTAAATTACAATGGACTTTTTTTTTATAAAATATTGGTAATGCTTTGATATTCTACCTCCAGTACAATCTTACTACTGGACTATCAGCACAGACTCAAACCACCCTCTCCACAGTGACTTCATCCTGCTGCCCTCAGGTCGCAGTCTCAGGACTCTGAGGTGGAAGTGGGCACGCTGCAGTAAGAGCTTTGTCCCTTCTGCAAGCACTGCCCTGAATAGTCTGCAAAGAAAATCCATTGCCTCATCTGCATGTGTGTTGTCCTGTGTGCCTTGTCCTTATTGTTACTACTGTGATGTCCTGTGTGCCCCTCTGTCCCTTATCATGTAACATGCCTTGTTGTCCTTAAGTCTATGTGTCCATGCCAGTGTCTGTCTGTCTGTCTGTCTGTCTGTCTGTCTGTCTGTCTGTCTGTCTGTCTGTCTGTCTGTCTGTCTAATCTAATCTAATCTAATCTAATCAACATTTAACCAGAAATAGTGTATTCCTATCAACCTTAGCTATGGTCATGTTACAATGGTATGAACATTTGACATGCTAACACACAACATGAGATGCTTTTATTTTTAAATTTGTGATCTCTTCTTTCTCTCCTCTCAGTTTAGCCCAGACCAGCCGGTGAGGTCAGAGACTGCAGGCTATGTGAAGAAGCCGAGCCTAAAAGACAAGATTCACTGTGTTGTTTTTGTAGTGGACGCTGTTAAAATCCAAAGCTACCCTAAAGGCCTCAGCACCACCTTCCAGCAGCTCCGAGAGCACATCAGTGACCTGGGTAAGGGTGAACGAGAAGTTAAACACAAACATTTACTCAGCCAAGCACATTAATATGACTCTGACAGTTATCGCCGCTCCCACGTTGGTATGTATATTCTTCCTACAAAACTGAAAACAGAAAATAAGAGTGGTAATTTTGGGGTCAAAATGAAAAGCTGTGATTCAGTCAGTCAGCAAACTGTTGTTTAATTTTTACAAATGTCATTTTTTTTTGTTTTAAGGAATAAAGAAAAATACACCAACTATCAACATCTTACTCATGGCATCTTATTCTTTATTTTAGGTGTTCATCAGGTGGCTCTACTTACCCATGTTGACCAAGTTTGTTCGGAAACTGCCAAAGACATCACCAAAGTGTACCATAGTAGCGTGATCCAGGACACGGTAGGTTTAAATGAATAAATATCTGATACGAGATAATGATGTGCAAGAAGAAAAAGAAGTGCACTATAGACAAAGGATAACCACAGCAGACTTAAAATGTAAATAATGTAACTACTTTAATTTCTTTTTCCTCCTAAAAGTTAGAAGTTGTTTTTTATTTTTTAAGTTCAATGCTGGAGTGTATTTACTGTGTTTTCATTGAGAAGCTTCCATATATAGTCTTTATTAAGCATACAATGCAAATGTGGGGGGATGTTTGACATTTACAGAACATTATTAAGGTGAAAACAACAGTAAGATCAAATTGACAGTATGAGGAGTGACAAAATATGCAGGTTTGGATCTCCCTGACCGGGTTAGTATAAAGTATGTGAGAGTTTATCTTGTGTTAGAAGTGAGGAGGATTTTTGTTCACTTCTTACAGCTGCACTGTTTGAGATAATTACATCCATTGTCTTTGTGTAAGTAAACCCAGCACAGGAACTAATGGTGTGAAAAATGTCAAAGTTTCATGTCTCTGTTTGTGCTTATGTGTTTGTGTACGTATAGATGACTAAAGCTGGCTCTCTGTTGGGTATGTCCACCTCCTACATCGTTCCAGTGAAGAACTACTCATCAGAGCTGGATGTTGATGTGAACACTGACATACTCCTGCTAAGCGCCGTCGACCACATCTTGCAGTATGCTGACCTGTATTTCCAGGACAACACACCACAATACACAGAGTTGGGAAAATTGGACTATTAAGCTTTTGGAAAATGTTTGTCAAAATATTAAAAGGAAAGGCCTTCAAGAGGGATCAAATGATTTCTGACTTTACTTACTCCCGCTTACATTAAACTATCATATTTTTTACATTGTTGAATTTTACAAACTTTTTGCTCATTTCTAACGTATAAAATTCAGAGGGAAATGGATTTGCAAGTGTGTTTTTTCTTCATGTAAACCAAAACCTTTCAGGTGAACTGAGTGGTCCCAGAATGGCATGCCCCAATGTTTAAAGAAAGATTAAGACATTTATTCCTTCACACATGCTAAAACTTTTACCCTATAAGTTAAAATTAAATTTATAAGAGATCAAGACTATTTTTTTTTTTTTGCTAAGAGGGCAGTCTGCCCGTCACACAGGATGGAAAAAAAAAAAACTCAAATTGTGTGTGTGGACGGGTGGGGATCTCTGATAAATTCGGGCTTGCAGGGTGGGTGGCGTTTTTTGCAGTTTGTATTCTAATTTGTTTTTTGTTTTTTTTATTTTGTATCCCATGTGTACATCACTTTTTGATACAAGCCATGTATGAAAAGTGCTTTATAAATAAAGTGATTGATTGATTGATTGATTGATATCCGATCACATATCGGATCGGTGCATCCTTATTAAACATTGTGTTCACCCACGCTTATCTTGGAAATCTGCGTCCAGTTTTGTATTGAAGCAGTTTGTATAAGAGTCATATTCAGTTTCAGTTTCATTTCTGCTCAAATACACACCCTGTACACTGCAGTCATCCACACAGCAGCCATTCTCGGACTTTTCTCTACTTGAATCAGACTACCGAGCTGTTTACGAGACAAGAAGGTAAGGATTAAAACTTTCCTTTATTTTATTAATCGAATTTTATTCCAAAGTCAGAAAATAGCAAAGCGGAATGAGGAAATAAGGCATTTAGAGACCCCGGACTCTCTCCTATTGAGGGGAGAACCGGAAAGGGGGTCTAGGGTTTTAGATTTGGAGGATCCTAGCCGACATAGAGCACACTGGAGGGATCACATATTTCAGCTATACGTGGTTAATTAGTTTAGCCTGTTAGAACTGCTGTGCTGTCCCACTCAGATGAGTGGAAATGAGAAGTTAAGATGGATAGGTGGATAAATCCAACAACGTAGCTATTCCCCTATTAAAGCAGGTGTAAACAATTTAGCCTTTAAACGAAATAAAAGATGTAACAGAGACAAGAGAATATTCTTTTGGTTTTAAAGGTTTGCAATTTGGTTTACCTTACTTTTACTTTCCCTTTGTAAACTTTGAAGAACTTTTTGGCCAAATGGGGAGGTTAAAATTAATGACACTTTTGGGAATACATTAAGCACAGTTTGATTATAAATGTTTTCAGTCTCAGTCGATGTTTTAACTGAATTAATTGTTTTTTTAGTCTCTACTGGCTGCTGTTGAAGGGCCTATATTTTGGACCTATATTACTGAATGAACAGTTACAGTTACGATGTGTTTCATTCTCTTACCGCAGTTATGTGTTGTATGTCGCTTCCATTAAGCAGAGGTTAACAATTATACACATAAACTATAAATAAAAAAACACAAGCATGAATGAGAGCAAAGTCAAAAACTGTTTGATTCCCTCTGAATTAAAACCATAGACTGTATATAAGATGGACGCCGTCTGTCTCCTCGCCGGGTGAAGCCACTCCGAGAACAGCACCCCCTAGAGCGTGGCTGCAGTACAAGTCATAAACCCCACTTCTGCCAGCAAAGTGAATGGAGCGGCGGACGGCCTTTAGAAATTAATTTCACAGAAAATACACTTTTCTCACCCCCGACTGCGATGTTGACATGTAGTTATTATTAGACTGGTTTGTGTTCAGGCCTTTTTTTCTCTCTGCAGCTCCATTTTAAAAAGTTATAAGGAGTTATAAAAACAGGAAATTGCGTCATTCTCTACACTTTGCACTTGCTGCTTGTGCGTCGCTCTTTTTTGTCCATCGTCAAGACCGATCGGGTTTGCCAGCGGAGAAGAGGATTACATTTTTCCATCGTTTTTCTCTTTTATTGCATTGGAAAAATGAGTTGTTCTGCAGTAAACTGTGTTAACCGACATGTGAAATCAGGAACTTTGCAGTTGTTTCGGTAAGTTGTGTTTTTTTTTATGAAGTCATCAGCTTGCTAGCTACATAACATTAAACGGTCTGGTTTAATTTAGCTAATGGGGTTTACTTACCGATATCAAGCGGTAAGTTCTGTGCCGCTAATAAGCGTTTTTATTAGAAGTTAAACAATGAGGAAACCCCTTAAAATCCGCCTTCTTTTTATAACAATATTATGACTACGTGACTTTGAATTTGAATTAAAAACCGTACCGATCCCACAAATTCATACTAGCAACCAAATACTACCACAGAGTATCAGGGCATGAAATGAAAACTCGAGGCATGAAGTCATAATGTTAAAGGAATTAATTCGCATTTAAGTCATTCCCCTAATATTGCATCACTTTATGAGAACACGGCCATGTAAATGAATATAATGAGAGTCATGATGTTATGAGTCGAAGTTTTGGTAATGGATCAACCAGTTTTACTCGGGTATGATACAACGAGAGCAGCCTGCGCTAAAATCAGGTATGGTTTAATTAAAATGCATCTTTCGGATGCACCGTCCTAGCTTTCTGGCAGAGGATTGACCGCCGGTTCAGTCTCCTCCGTACAGCGGCAGTAGTATTACAGCTTCTGTTGACATAACGATATTTGTCTAAGATAAAGCTCTGAAACTGTCTTTAATGGGACAAAACGTCGAGAAAACGAGACCCTATAAGTGTATAGAAGGACATGCTCAAAAGATTACTTATACAAGTTGCATAACTGTTATTTATTTTATGTTATCAAATAACATACATAAGTCATAAGTATACTTCTGTGGAATGACAATTATCATTTACAGCAGCATGGTAGATCATGTCTTACTTAAGTTTTCAAGATAGATAGATAGATAGATAGCCCTGTTACCTATGAGATTGAGATAAAACTATGAGTAATGTAATTAGTTATGGAAAGACAGCTGCATATGACATACTTAATCAATCACAATGACATTAAAATTTTTGTTACATGCAAAGAAATCCCTCAATTTTGATAGGATGTTCATAAGACATATCACTCACAAGATGAAATGATTTGGATTATTTACACAGTTTGTATATTCATTCACTTGAGGTATTTTTTGTGATTGTCTTTGAATTGAGTTTTGGCTTCAGCCTGTTATGCAACAAAGCAAGAATTAAACTGAACGCAAAACATTAACTTTGTGTTGTTTACAAACTTGACAAATGGCAGTAAGCAATGTTATTGTATTTTTGTAAAGTTTCCCTTTAGGTGACAAAGCGAGGCTGAAGCAGTGGCTGGTGAACACAAGACGGCAGGACTGGAAACCAACAGGATCATCACGTCTTTGCAGTGCTCATTTTGAAGAGCATGCCTTTACTGTGGACTCAAAGGTTAAATTATTTCTTTTTTAATGGAAAGCAATTTTTATGAAGTTCACATTTGCAACAATTTATTGTTAAATTGACTAACACTTTGAATCATAAAATGGCGGTTATTTAAACATTCCCAACAGCTGAACACTACAACTATCGTGGTTCCATTTTAAATTACTGCTGTTTTTATGTTTTCTAAAATTAGGTATTTGCATGTAGTTGTAGTGTCTGCTACCATCTACTGGTCATTATTAGTTAGTGTCATCAGTCATTTTCAGTTTAAGTTGGCGCAGCCTGGAGTAAAAAAAACAGGAATCATGTTGCAAAAAAAATTTGAGTGATACCACATGAACAACTTCTTATGCTTAGACCAAATGTGCCCTGTTAGATAAAGGTAACAGCACTAGCCAAGTAGTAGTCTCTAAGAATGCTAACTAAATGAAACCTTTTAAATAATTGGACAAGTATATCAAAACCTCTAAAGTTTTCATGCTGAGCTACCACCTGGTTTGAGACATTAAGTGTCTTAATGAATTTAAGTACTGGTATTCACAATTTAATTGATGAATTTCTTTGTGTTTTTCAGACTTCATCACCAACCACTGATGATATGGTGGATTCATCTGCTGCAGCCTGTTTCCTTTCCACCCAATGCAACTCCCAAAGTACTAGTTTATATCTTTTTAAGTTCCTGGTAAAATAACAAACATACAGGTTTTCACGGTGGGGAACCGCCGATGGAGATCCTGGAGGTCCTGCTGTTTGATTTCTGTAAATGTATTGAACAATAAAAGAAAAAAAAAAAAAGTCATTTTCCTACAAAACCTTGCATGGCTTGTGATTCAGCATGATTCCACATCATGCTGAATCACAAGCTGTTTAATATTTTTTACAGTAGATATAATTTGGAATTGAAAACTTGAGCTTGCTCTTGTTACATCACAAAAAAAAAATATTTATAACATTACCTAATAAAAGTCTGACTAAAATCATATCCAACTAAATCAGCATCCATCTCAATGAATTTTTATCCTTACTTCTGGTCACAGTGGCTGATGTTGTGCACATCTTTGAAGCTTCTTTTCTCTTTGTCTAAAGAAAGGAGAACAACATAAATATTTGCTGTTCATTCAGAATTTTGTTCATTTTTAATCACAGTACAATAGCATATATCTTAACAACTGATAAACTAAAAATATCACGTATTTTGCTGTTTAATTTACCAAGGCTAGTGTTAAATTGCAATGCTACTTTAGCTTACATTTACACCGTTTCTTTCAACAAAGAGAGATGACTTACTTCCAATCAAGTAATAGATGATATCTCTATTCGTATTAGTTATGATGGTATTTTATGTTCTTAAAAGTTAGTACGCTCACAAATTTCACATTATATCAGGAGAAGTGGAACTTACTTATTCTTGGTCGCGACGAGCGGGGAAGCTATTAGCGATACCGATGTAAGGCTGGAAGGACATCCGGGGGGCGGGCACTTTTTGAGCGGAACGTCATCGCGCCGAGTCTCCCGTCCAGCCAAAAACGTCTGCGTACAACGCTACTGCGCAGCTCTGGTTGCAAGGAACACGGAATTACCGAGAGCTTTTTGGCTTCAAATCCGTAGCTGCGTCCGAATTGCCAAGTAGTAGTCGAAGTAGAAGTCGAAGTAGTATCTAGCATGTCCGAATTGGCCACCGGAGCGAGTAGCATGCTACTTCAGATACTACTTCAGATACTAGACACGCCCACATTGTAGGTTGGTCTCGGTGCATCCTACGGGCATGCTACTGACCCAAAATGCACCACGGGCTTCTTCTTCGTCCTCTTAAAAGTTGTAGAAGCGCATGTGATGCTAGCGCCACCAGCTGCTCTGCCTATTTAAATGTATCGCGAACGCCGGCTGGCCACAACAGCGCGCACCATGTCGCGGGACCGCAGCAGTACAGATGTAAGTTTCATGTAACTTCACACACTGTCCTAAAAAATGTGCGGTTGTATCTCTTTGTCATGTCATGGTGTCATATTTGCCCAAGTAATCATTTTATGAGCAAATATGTGGCGACATCATGGAGGTAAAGCTCACTTATTCCATCATTAAACTGCACAGCTGCAGTACTACAGCCAGGCCCGCAGATGAGGGGCTTCAGTTACCACTGTCTGCACGGGCGCAGTACCTACTCTCTGCCTGCGGGGGTCGTCTTTCCCCACCGCTCGTCTAGTGTGTCCGAATTGGGCCAACGTGTTTAGTATGTAGAAGTAGGATCTAGCAGTAGCACGTAGCAGTAGCATGTAGTATCCGAGCGGGCAGTTCGGACGCAGCACGTATACAGGCGGAAGGCGGAACCACGGCGTCCATCTTATATACAGTCTATGGCTGTGTCCGAAATGGCCTACTACTCCTACTACTCCTACTAACCCCGCCTCTGAATTGAGTAGGCAGTGCGTTCACACTGTACAGTATGCGAATTTTGTGTATGCGAGAAATGCCCGGATGTATACTCAATCGGCTTCGATTTCTGAGTGTGCAACGGAGCTTGCTTCACGTACTGCTTCTGCCCCACAATGCATTGCGCACCTCAGCTGGTAATATGGCCCTCCTTCCCGAGGCTGAAAAGAAATAGATGGCATGTGATTGCAATAATAATGATATATATATAAATAGATAAACAATATTTAGTCCGTATATATTACATAATTTTCATCATTTTATCATATTTTGATCTTTTTACCGGATTTATTTGTATTTTAAATTAGGATTATAGGCAATGTTTTTAACTATTCGTATGAATTGACTTTATTTATTTAAGTGTCTATTAAAGATGTATTTATTACATCAAGTTTGAGCATCTTCTCATCTCTGAATGCATCATCAAAGTGGTCGCTCATATTAAGCACAGACCTCTGATTAATAAAAATTATCTTTGGTAGAGAGCACATGGTTCAGAATATACAAACGGGGGAGTTTCCAGTTGACAATCTATGTGAGCTTTACTAATTCTTACTTGTGATTGAAAATCTGATGGTTTCTGAAATTATCATTGTACATGAAAAGAATGTAGTCGGGAAATGATGTATTTGCCAAGGAATAACCGAACAAGGTCATAATAATTATGTTGTGTGTTGGTCATTTTGCAGCCCTCTGCTGCTCATCACACGGCCAGCAGGTGGTGTATAGCATTATCACCATGGATACACGGATGTTTGGGTGATTTTTTTCATCCACTGCCGCCCGGTTTGTGTCGTGTAGATGTTGATTATGAAAACACTTCGCAATAATTTGGAAACGTGAAGGGGGGGCTGCTGACGCAAACACCGACCAAGTGGACGCTTCGGTCTCCGAAAACGCCGAGACAAATTTACAAACAGCCACTATTTCAAACAACTGGGCTCATAATCGTGATGTAAACACTTACTTTCTCGCTAGAAAAAAATATTATTATTGAATGAATTTATATAATTTGTCCGGGATGCAGTCGTTCTGTGTGGCTTGTGGTAGGACTATTTAAATTTTCCCGGCGCTGCGTCCGGCCGGCACGAAATGCATTCTGGGGTATTTAGTATGTATGTGTGTAAACGCTCGGGCAGCCGCGGCATACCCAAATCCTCTTTGAGTAGTCAGTAGGCAGTAGCTACTGCTTGAGTAGGTAAGTAGATAGTAGGCAGTATGCCATTTCGGACACAGCCCACGATTAAAACACCTGTGGCGAGACTCAGCTGCCACTTAAATCACTATTGGCTGCCCCCTAGTGACTCGGAGGACGATTACCCTTCAATTCAAGTTATGGCTCTTATATCTAGTATCATGATTTTACAGAATCAACCTTTCAGAGCTTTTGCAAAGGATAATTTTCAATATGATACATGATTCATTTCTTTGAGTCTACAAATCAAATGCACATTTTTGATCCATGTTTCATTTTCTGCGTAGACTCCACACTCAGCCTCTGTCACACAGCCTACTGAAGCAGAGCGACTGTTCACCATGGACCCTAGACTTACCGGGAGCCAGCAGAGAACAATCTGCTCCCAGCTGTCAAGAGTCAAACTGCAACTTCTTTACAAGGCCAGCATCCATGGTTTCACCGGCGCAGCCTTCCACCAACGATGTGACAACCGCAGCCCTACAATTTCTGTGGGCTACAATGGCTCTGGTTTTGTTTTTGGAGGCTACACTAAACAACCGTTCAGCCAATCTGGACAGTATATGAATGATGATCAGGCCTTTCTATTTACAGTTAACAGAGGAAGGCTCCTCAAATATCCAGTCACAAGCCCTGTATATGCTGTAAAAATGTTTGCTAACGCTGGACCTTATTTTGGAGAGGCACTGGTACTGGTCAATGGAAACCAACCCGTGGTCTACAACAATCCAGGAAATTACTACAACTTCGATGCTGCTGAGATGCACGGCAATGATCTCAACCTGACCGAGTGTGAAGTCTATCAAGTTGAGGGTGAGCAGTATGTTTGGGACTTCTCTTCATTATATAAAAAAGCAGCATCAGCTTTTCTAAGGGTTGTTTTGGGGTAGGTTTGAAAAGTTGTATGTGATCCTGTTTTGTCAGTGTTTCATGCTCTCACAGAGAAAAAAGGGGACATTGTGGATGGTTTTACTGTGTCATTGTTTTAAACTCTGGTTTTTCTGCTCTTAATTAGAAGCTACAGAATTGGAGACACCGTGGAGAGCTGTGACCTGGGAAACTGAGTAAGATGTTGAGAGTCTTTATTACTACTTTTACTTTCATTATAATGACTTGTGCATTATTTATGTCAGTGGAAAAGGTGGTTATACTTAACAACACTACACAACATATAGTCATATTGAATGTGTCCCACACACCACTAGAGTCACATGTTTCTGCTTGATCAGGTATAGTATAATTAGTCAGACAATGTGCCTTTCTAACACTTTAACATGTATATACGACTTGAGCATCTGTCTTTTCTACAGGAAGAGGACAGCGCTGATGGAGTATATAAGGACGTACAAACCGTTAGTCAGCTCTGTGTCCAAGGCTCGAGTCCTGCTCATTGGACCAGTTGGAGCTGGAAAGTCCAGCTTCTTCAATTCCATCAACTCTGTTTTCAGAGGCCACGTCATTAGCCAAGCTATGGCTGGATCCTCCACCACCAGCCTGACCACACAGGTCAGAATCTTTACATCAACGACTGAAGGTTTTCAGGACTGTTTTTTTTTTCAGTCTTTTTTAACTTATACACTCTTCTCTTAAACAGTTTCGCACCTACATTTTGAAAGATGGGCGAGAAGGAAAACCACTACCAATCGTCTTGTGTGATACCATGGGGCTTGAGGAAAGTACAGGGGCAGGGCTTAACTTGGATGACATCACCAGCATACTCAAAGGCCATCTACCAGATCGCTATCAGGTTCAGCTTTTGCCACACACAGTCAGATATTGTTGGTATGTGTCATTGATTTACTGCTAACGTTTCCCTTTTTTCTCCAATCTTCTGTACGTCTCAGTTCAACCCTTCTGCCCCTCTGAATTCGGAGGCTCATGGTTATCAGGAGTCTCCCGGGCTGAAGGACAAGATCCATTGTGTGGTCTATGTTATTGATGCCTGCAAGGTTCCCATCATGCCCTCAAAGCTGGAGGAGAAGCTGGATGCTATCCGCAAGAAGGTCAACCTGATGGGTCAGTTCTTCTTTTCAGCATTGTTTTCTAAATTTTAGCACAACATGAACTTTTGGCATTTCGTAGCTGCATTATTTGTTCAGTATTTTAAATCGGATACTGACAAATCTGCAGCATTATGAAAATGTTTTTTCTGCTCTGGTGTTTTCAGGAGTTCCTCAGCTGGTCCTGCTGACTAAAGTGGACGAAGCTTGCCTTTTGGTGTCAGAGGATGTGAGAAACGTTTACAAGAGTTTCTACATCAAGCAAATGGTGAGGTTTAAGGGTGTACGCAGAAAAACATTTTCTGTTTTGTGTTCATTACTTTAATACGGTGGCAGGCAATCATATCAATACAGTTAATATTTATAGCTCACATTACTTTACTTTAAAACTCTTGAACAGGTAGGAAGTAACAAGAGACAGTCTGTTTTCAGATGTTATAAAGAGAAATATTTCTTTGGTATTCAGATGCAGGAAGCGAGTGCTCGGCTGGGTGTGTCGATGTCCTGTATTATTCCTGTGAAGAACTACAGCGAGGAGCTGGACGTGAACCTGAGCTGCGACATCTTGCTGCTAAGCGCTGTTGAACAGATGCTTTACTCTGCTGACAACTACTTTGAAGACATCAGTGACCGATGTGGTAATCTCAGAACCCAAGAGTAGGACGTATACGTGCAGCAGACAAACCACTGTGGGTGTCAGTGATGACAAATACTCAGTAATGATCCATTTATAAACATGAACACATAAGCGTGGGCTGTGTACTATGAGGGTTTTCAAAGCATTCCTTTCAAGTGTTAATACTCAGGGGGTGGTAAACATATTCACTTATACATTGTTCATATGCTCGGAGAGGCTGTTTCTCTGCTGTCAGGCTCAGAGTGGGAAACTTTAATATTGTTTTAAGTTTGTGATGCTTGAGTCTAGATTGCAAAATCTGACAAATTGTGGTTTTACTGCTTCCTAGTTGAGTAGCAATTTAAAAGTAATGGGATTTTACTTTTTTTAAGGTGTGGGGAACTTTCAGTTTGCGTCATTTTTGGCGCCACCATGTGAACAAAGCAAACTTTGCTTATGTTGTCCTCCACATGCTGGTGTAGGGCCTTTTGACAACAATCTAGTTCTGACAACTTTTTTACTTTTTTTTTTGTAAATAATTGATGTAAAAATAGAGCTTAATCTTTAGCGGATCGCCTGACTCCTACCCTTGTGTCAGTTTCAGGTTTGAAAATCATCTATCATTCCTCTTATGGTCTTTTTTAATGGAAAAAAGAAGTCCTTATAGGAGCTCTAGGGCCTGGCTTATTTCATTGGCTATTACACCAAAGGTTAAAAACTTTGTAATGTTAACACGTTATCTAACAATTATTTTCTTCCCAGCAGTTTGAAATGATTAATCTCTGTATCACTTTTTTGTTTCATGTTATTGAGGCTACATTCACTGTCAGCAAGTTTAGAGCAGTTTACTGTAGTTTATCTGCACTGTCAGAGGAGTGATGTTTGAATTCAGAGGTGCCTCGTAAATGCTGCATATTGATGATTTGAAAAGTAAAGTTGAAATTTGGTTACTGAGTCATAAACTGGGTTTTGATTCCTTTCATGTTTAAATTACAGAGTAGATAGAGTTAATGCTGACAAAGTACTGAGTTACATATTATAGAATATACAAAAATGACTGCTTGGTATCAGGACAAAAACTACACCAGGTGTTGACTGTAATATCTACTATTTGTATTGAGGTTTATTCAGCTTTTCATTGATGTTTTTGATGGGAATTGACATGTTGCATACACTCCATGTTGTATAACTAAACCTGATTCAGCTGCCTCTGGGTCTCATTAGTGTAATAATAATAATAATAATAATAATAATAATAATAATAATAAAAGTTTAAAAAAACTGACAACAGTGTTTTCTTTAGAAAGACCTGTATGCCAATTGCCTTCCATATATTTTGGTGCCATTCTAGTTGAGTGAAATCCTTTTTTCATGTCTTTTTGCCAAACATTTGTGTGTCTGTGATTAGCCATAGACCTGAAAACTAAAATGAACTATTTTCTCTTTCTTCACCTTCTTCTGCCCCCCTCAATCATCCTTACTTTGCTAAAAACTGCTGAAGTATGCTTTACTCCTTTTAACACTCCAAATGGTGAACAATTTCACTTGACAGGAAAAAAACTGTGCTTAAAATATCAGGCTCAGTTTTAAAGTTAACATGATTTGATTTTGGAAATTGTAATGAATTAAATTCGATCAAATTTGTTATGATAGCTCACCTGTAAATGCGCTGTTACCTCAGAGTTCAGTGCTTCATGACAGGTATTTTAAGGTAATAAGGTGCTACTAGAGGCACTTTTTAGAGATGCACTGATCCATTTTTTTCCAATCCAGTCCGAAACCAATTCCTGGGCTAAACGTATTGGCCGATATCTGATACCGATCCAATACTACTGTTAAATAAATAAACTTTATACTTTGCCCTGCGAGTGAAAGCATCAGGCTTGACATTAGCCTTGTTAAAAAAGGTAACAAATTAACACAGATATATTCTTACTAATATTATTTATTAACAAATAACAAATTGCACATTAGCACACAGCAAAAAGAAGTAAGACTTCTTTGTAAAGGTTTAGTGCAAAAGGATAGACAGACATAGTGTGACAGAGGTGTAGAAAGAGTGAACAGAATCTCTGTGTTGCTGTATATGATATTAATTAAAAGAAAAAAAGACTGGATTGGAACGCTGGATCGGCATCATTCATCAGATATCGATCCAGTTACTTTGTCAATATCGCAGCCGATATCGGATCCAAATATCGGTTCGGTGCATCCCTAATAACATTGTGTTCACCCACGTTTATCTCGGAAATCTGCGTCCAGTTTTGTACTGAAGCAGCTTGTATAAGAGTCATTTTCAGTTTCAGTTTCATTTCTGCTGAAGTACACACCCTGTACCCTGCAGTCATCCCCACAGCAGCCATTCTCGGACATTTCTTTTTCCTGAATCAGTCTCCCGAGCTGTTTACGAGACACGAAGGTAAGGAATAAAACTTTCCTTTCTGTTATTGCTCGATTTTTATACCAAAGTCAGAAAACAGCAACGCGGAATGAGGAAATAAGGCATTTAGAGACCCCGGACTCTCTCCTATTGAAGGGAGAACCGGAAAGGGGGTCTAGGGTTTTAGATTTGGAGGATCCTAGCCGACATAGAGCCCACTGGAGGGATTACATATTTCAGCTGTACCGGGTTAATTAGTTTAGCCTGTCAGAACGGCTGTGCTGTCCCACTCAGATGAGTGGAAATGAGTAGATTAGATAGGTGGATAAATCCAACAACGTAGCTATTCCCCTATTAAAGCAGGTGTAAACAACTTAGCCTTTAAACGAAATAAAAGATGTTTTACTTCCCCTTTGTAAACTTTGAAGAACTTTTTGACCTCAGTTACACTTAGTGAATACAGTTTGTTTCTTCTTAAACAGTATAAGTGAAGCCAGTGACTAAAAAATTGTTATTTTTGTGTTATTTTTAACAAATGGGGAGGTTAAAAATAATGACACTTTAGGGAATACAATAATCACAGTTTGTCTCAGTCGATGTTTTAACTGAATTGTTTTTTAGTCTCTACTGGCTGCTGTTGATGGGCCTATATTTTGGACGTATACTACTGAATGAATAGTTAACAGTTACGATGTGTTTCATTCTCTTACCGCAGTTTTGTGTTGTATGTCGCTTCCATTAAGCAGAGGTTAACAATTATACACATAAACTATAAATAAAAAACACAAGCATGAATGAGAGCAAAGTCAAAAACGGTTTGATTCCCTCTGGATTTTAAACACCTGTGGCGAGACTCAGCTGCCACTTAAATCACTATTGGTTGCCCCCTAGTGACTCGGAGGACGATTACCCTTCAATTCAAGTTATGGCTCTTGTATCTAGTATCATGATTTTACAGAATCAACCTTTCAGAGCTTTTGCAAAGGATAATTTTCAATATGATACATGATTCATTTCTTTGAGTCTACAAATCAAATGCACATTTTTGATCCATGTTTCATTTTCTGCGTAGACTCCACACTCAGCCTCTGTCACACAGCCTACTGAAGCAGATCGACTGTTCACCATGGACCCCAAACTTACCAGGAGCCAGCAGAGAACAATCTGCTCCCATCTGGGAAGAGTCAAACTGCAACTGCTTTACAAGGCCAGCATTCATGGTTTCACTGGCGCAGCCTTCCACCAACGATGTGACAACCGCAGCCCTACAATTTCTGTGGGCTACAATGGCTCTGGTTTTGTTTTTGGAGGCTACACCAAACAACCATTCAGCCAATCTGGACAGTATATGAATGATGATCAGGCCTTTCTATTTACAGTTAACAGAGGAAGGCTCCTCAAATATCCAGTCACAGGCCCTGTATATGCTGTAAAAATGTTTGCTAATGCTGGACCTTATTTTGGAGAGGCACTGGTGCTGGTCAATGGAAACCAACCTGTGGTCTACAGCTGTCCAGGAAATTACTACAACTTCGATGCTGCTGAGATGCACGGCAATGATCTCAACCTGACCGAGTGTGAAGTCTATCAAGTTGAGGGTGAGCAGTATGTTTGGGACTTCTCTTCATTATATAAAAAAGCAGCATCAGCTTTTCTAAGGGTTGTTTTGGGGTAGGTTTGAAAAGTTGTATGTGATCCTGTTTTGTCAGTGTTTCATGCTCTCACAGAGAAAAAAGGGGACATTGTGGATGGTTTTACTGTGTCATTGTTTTAAACTCTGGTTTTTCTGCTCTTAATTAGAAGCTACAGAATTGGAGACACCGTGGAGAGCTGTGACCTGGGAAACTGAGTAAGATGTTGAGAGTCTTTATTACTACTTTTACTTTCATTATAATGACTTGTGCATTATTTATGTCAGTGGAAAAGGTGGTTATACTTAACAACACTACACAACATATAGTCATATTGAATGTGTCCCACACACCACTAGAGTCACATGTTTCTGCTTGATCAGGTATAGTATAATTAGTCAGACAATGTGCCTTTCTAACACTTTAACATGTATATACGACTTGAGCATCTGTCTTTTCTACAGGAAGAGGACAGCGCTGATGGAGTATATAAGGACGTACAAACCGTTAGTCAGCTCTGTGTCCAAGGCTCGAGTCCTGCTCATTGGACCAGTTGGAGCTGGAAAGTCCAGCTTCTTCAATTCTATCAACTCTGTTTTCAGAGGCCATGTCACCAGCCAAGCTATGGCTGGATCCTCCACCACCAGCCTGACCACACAGGTCAGAATCTTTACATCAACGACTGAAGGTTTTCAGGACTGTTTTTTTTTTTCAGTCTTTTTTAACTTATACACTCTTCTCTTAAACAGTTTCGCACCTACATTTTGAAAGACGGGCGAGAAGGAAAACCACTACCAATCGTCTTGTGTGATACCATGGGGCTTGAGGAAAGTACAGGGGCAGGGCTTAACTTGGATGACATCAACAGCATACTCAGAGGCCATCTACCAGATCGCTATCAGGTTCAGCTTTTGCCACACAGTCAGATATTGTTGGTATGAGTCATTGATTTACTGCTAACGTTTCCCTTTTTTCTCCAATCTTCTGTACGTCTCAGTTCAACCCTTCTGCCCCTCTGAATTTGGAGGCTCATGGTTATCAGGAGTCTCCTGGGCTGAAGGACAAGATCCATTGTGTGGTCTATGTTATTGATGCCTGCAAGGTTCCCATCATGCCCTCAAAGCTAGAGGAGAAGCTAGATGCTATCCGCAAGAAGGTCAACCTGATGGGTCAGTTCTTCTTTTCAGCATTGTTTTCTAAATTTTAGCACAACATGAACTTTTGGCATTTCGCAGCTGCATTATTTGTTCAGTATTTTAAATCAGATACTGACAAATCTGCAGCATTATGAAAATGTTTTTTCTGCTCTGGTGTTTTCAGGAGTTCCTCAGCTGGTCCTGCTGACTAAAGTGGACGAAGCTTGTCCTTTGGTGTCAGAGGATGTGAGAAACGTTTACAAGAGTTTCTACATCAAGCAAATGGTGAGGTTTAAGGGTGTACGCAGAAAAACATTTTCTGTTTTGTGTTCATTACTTTAATACGGTGGCAGGCAATCATATCAATACAGTTAATATTTATAGCTCACATTACTTTACTTTAAAACTCTTGAACAGGTAGGAAGTAACAAGAGACAGTCTGAAAAATATTTCTTTGGTATTCAGATGAAGGAAGCGAGTGCTCGGCTGGGTGTGCCGATGTCCTGCGTTATTCCCGTGAAGAACTACAGCGAGGAGCTGGAGGTGAACATGAGCTGCGACATCTTGCTGCTAAGCGCTGTTGAACAGATGCTTCACTTCGCTGACAACTACTTTGATGACATCAGTGACCGATGTGGTAACCTTAGAACCAAAGAGTAGGACGTATACGTGCAGCAGACATGTTGACTGATATCTACTATTTGTATTGAAGTTCATTCAGCTTTTCATTGATGTTTTCAATGGATATTCACATATTACATACTCTCCATGTTGTATAACTAAACCTGATTTTGCTGTGTGATTGTTTACAGTTTACTGAGTTAAAGGTTTACACTGAAACGTTGGTTCAGCCTGGCACGTTAGAATGAATGTCACATAAATATACTTACAGTTTCAACTGCAAAACAGGGAATTCAGTTTGTACTCTTTGTGGTCACCAATTGTGTACAGAGAACATTGTATGGCGTTATAATATTAAGTCTTTTCAGTTTCCAGTATTAGTTTCCTCTCATGTCACATGATGGGCTTTTGAAGAAAATAACATTCATACCTTTATGTGTTTTCCTTTTTTCAGTGGTACGTTCAAGTAGTTTGTGCTTTGAATTGTAAACTTACAATAAAAGCTGTACAAGACCAGACTGGATGTCATTGAGACCTGGGATGATTCCTGTACTAGAGATTTGAATGTGTGTGACTGTCCAACAGACGCTGGAAAAGCATCTAATAAACAGAAAAACTGAGATTTATTAATGCAGATCAGACAGTTACTGTACAGCAAACAGTGTTGAGGAGCAGTCCCTCCATGTGTAACAGGACTCTGGTATTACAGCAAATTACACATTGCTCATCACACCTGTAATCTGACTCCCCTCCTGCTTTTGCATCATTGAAATCAACTGTGGATTAGAGTGGATTACAAATTGGCGTCTGTCTTTTGAGCAACAATAATCATCAGTTAAAAAATAATTATGCTCCGTGATCAGAATGACATTCAAACACGCACACACACGCGCACACATACCTTGAAATAGTGTTTAAAATAATGTTGCTTTAGTGCACAAAAACAGACGAGACATCTCTCCAACTTCACCACAGTTTACATGACCCATGTTTTACCTCTTTGTAACGGTCTCAGGTGCAATCAACAACGATGATATGCAAGGAATGTTCTGGAAAAGCAAACCACACCTAGAATACAATTTCTTCAGCCAGTCCCTGATCATGATATTCATGCATTTCCTCCTGTGGTTCGATGGTTGTTCCCGGGTTTGCTTGTGGGTGTGTTTAGGTCAGATCTGGGGGAGACGGAGCAGACAGGAAACTTTTATGGCACAGCTGACTCCATCAAACTTTCTGAACAGTCAGATGGCTTTCCTCTCATCAGCAAAGAGCTTCAGTCATCAACAGAAAAAAGGCAGCCACGTGAACAAGTAACCATTTCAACTTTACCACTGAGTTAGTTACAGTTTAGAACACACATGTACGCACACATACATCCTAGTACACACACAGTCGCACAAACATGTACACATGGGCTTGGTCGGGGTCCAAAGGCTGATTTCAGTGACAACCAGAGTGGAGTATAAAGCGGGAGATTTGGCACCAACACTGCAGCTGTTAATCTGCTCACACAGCAACAAAACGCAAACAGAACTGTGATTCTCTGCAAGACTCATTCCACGTGTTTGAACTATTTCTGCTTTTCTTTTCAATTCAAATAACTCCTAATTAGAAAGTTTTCATCTGTTTTCATGACATGTAGTTTGTTGTTTATCTTACAGAGTCCCACAGAAAGAGAAAGAGACTCTGTGAGTATACACTATTCTTCAGCTGCTAAACAGTTCACAGATCGTCACGGTTACAGGGAAGATTTTGGTGTCTGCATGATGTTCTCATTGTGGAAGGAACTGGGCCTTATTTAAATTGGGGGACTTTGACACAACAAAGGGTTAAAATGTGGTTGGCATAGCTGTGCAAATTGGCTTGGAAGTATTTGGCAACATTTAGAGGGTATAATTTAATCTTGCACATAAATGTTAAGCTCAGAGTTTATTAAGCAATGTTGTTTAGTATGTGCATGGTGTTATATAAAACAGAAAAATTACTTCTCTAAGATCGCTGTGATTGATTACCTGCCTCTGTAGGTAATCCACTTCTCTGACTCAGAGCTGGAAAAAATAAAAAGTTAAAAGGAATGCATTTAAAGACATTTCAGCTCTAAAATCGTACAAAAAGGTCAGTCTGTAGCTTGTGTATTGTTTTAAAAGAATACTGAAGATTATTTCTGCTGCACCACTAAAGTGTGAAATTGCTCTGGCCTAGTTCTGACTGATGTGCTAAAGTTATAAAAATGAACAGAAAATTTCAGCAGGACAGAAATGAAAAAGGAGCCAATGGTCACAGCTCGTGCACAAAAATATGGTTGCATTTTTAAAACACTTTAAGTAAAACAAAACAAAACACGGGAAAATGACACTGTAGTTTTCTGGTGCTGCAAAAGAAAAACTCTGATGGTTGTCACTCAAGCTCTTCAGCGTTTGGACTCGACTGAAGCCCGATCACACACTGTGCTTACGTCAACATCTAGAGATGACTTTCAAAAATCCAAACAGGAATAAAAAAAATTAACAAAGAACTTTTCCTTGTGTTTTTTTTCTCTTCAAGAACTGTACAAGATTATTACAAAAATCAATAATTAGTTATACATATTTATATGACAACATTGTTTACGTTATATTACTATAAAGAAATACAACTTAATTTGTTGTTGTTGAAGAATCTGAATACAGTATTCCTTTTTTTAGAGTGCAGTAGCTTCGCTGCGCTGAACATGGTTATACATGAATCTGTTTCTATGAAGTAAACTTTCATCTCTGCAGCTGCTGCTCATCGCTGTCATCGAAAATAAAGTTCAAATAATGAGTCTGGATGAAGGTTTCACTTTCTCCTAACAGATAAAAACAGTTTAACTCTCTGCAGTAGCACTGTCAAACCACAAGGTGGAGCTAAATTATTGACCTATACTGTATAGGGGGTGCCAGCATGTGTGTATTGATTCAGTTTACTTGAGTTTTAAACCTTGAAAAACAGATTGAACAATAATTATTGAACTTTAAATTCACTTCAGACCTGGTTCCTGATTCACAGACACCAGTCAGCAGACACTGAAATGTAAACATTAAGTGACAGACGGCTTCTCCAGTCCTCTGCCTGAATTTTTCTTTCTTTTCCTTTTTCAGCTTTTTGCAGTCCAAGAAGCAGGCGAGCTCAGATTCGTGACCAGCTCAAAAAATTAAAAAAATTGAAAAAAAAAAAGGAATACTGCATCCCTGTGTTGCTCATCTCCTCATCTTGAGTTCCTCAGCTCTTGTGTGCATCCTGCAGGGGGACAGAGATCGAAGGAGGAGAGGTTGTCTAGGCAGGGCCCTCCTTGGGAGAGGACGGGGTCTGGGATGTGGAATTGGAGGAGGACGAGGAGGACGCAGAGCTCTTCAGGGATCCCAGGGTCTTGCTGAGCCAAGAGTTCTTGGCCGCCTGGATCTCGTTCATCAGGACTCCCCGCTGGTGCTCGAGCTCCTGCAGAGAGGAGTGAGAGGAGATGCTGATGTTACACATACCTGCTGACAAACAGCATCTTAACATTGTTATTATATAAAATATCACTGTCATCTGTGAGCGGTTGACTTTGATCCTCTGGTGACAGTTGCAGTCTAAAAAAAGTCGTGCCTCATTCTCTTGCATGTGAGTAAAACATTTACATTATTCTTGCTGATGATGGTATCACACGCCCTGGGTGTTACTGACCTGAATGCGGCACTTAGCCTCCACCAGCTGCAGTTTGGTCTGTGCCAGCTCCAGCTCCAGTTGCCTCAGCTGCTCCTTCAGTCCATCCTTCTCCTCGTCCAGAGGCTCAGAGGACGTCTTGTCCCTGCCAGGTGAAGAAGCCTGGAGGGACCCCAGGGTGCCAAACAGATCCCTGCAGTGCTCGCAGCCCATTACTTTACTCTGCGTGAGAACACAAACACAGATGCCGCTGAACTTCTTCTGCAGGCGCAATCACACATTAAAATATAATTTCATGTTCATGCTGCAGCGAACTTGTCTTAATGCTACAAATGAGAGCTGAAACGAGAGGACACACCTGCACTGGCAGAACATTGAAAAAGTATTTTTCCCAGATGCAGCCTTGGGATGACAACAATGGTGATATTCTGGGCACCGAGACTGCGTGAGTGATCCATTGTTTTGTTTACTTGAAACTAGGCCTGGCAGAAGCTCAGAGGTAGATATGTTGATCACTGTTTTATTATAACACTGACTTCCTCTTCTGTTTTTTTTGTCTCTAAGGGAAAGCTTTATTTTTCAGAGTTCATAGACTAATCATACTTAGAGTGCACAGCTCAGTCCTACATTCACGACCCAACAGTCTTCATCATGCACAAAAAAGCACTGCCATCATGCTTTACTGAACTATCCTCAAACATCAACAGGTCATTTTTGCCTTCAACTAAAGCTCTGAGTTTAACATAACATAAAAAATTTCCTAATTTCTATCCAGCCTGGAGATGACACACTCACACACCCAAAAAGAGCAGCACCACATGTTTGATTACAGCTAAATAAGCAGATGATTTGTGCAACCAATGTCTCCACAAGAGCGATTATGTACCAACCTGGGCTTGGCTTAACTGAGATGAAAGACACAGTAATCCTTAGAATATCCTCCCTGATACCACATTGTAGGTGCAGTCAGGAGTCTCTCAGGGTTTCCTAACTAACATCAGCTGCCTTCTGTAGTAGTTGTGTTTTAATCTTACCCTGACGATGTCCAGCTCTTCTTTTGTGGCGGCCTGCTGTTTTTCCAGCCTGGTGCTCAGCTGAGAGCAGATCTGCAGCACGGAGAGGAGGACAGGTTACATGGAGAACAACAGATATGACTTTAAAATAAAACTGAGGTAAATTTTGGAGTGATGTGTTTCAGGAACTTTGGATGTGTTCATTGAGTCTCATATCGTACAGGTTTGTGATCTTGTCTTTCCTGGCCTTTCAGTTCCATGACCACAGTTCTCATGTTATGTAGTGCAATCTCAGTTTAATCTTTAGAAATGAAAAACTCACTTGGGTGAATATAGGGGGTCTATGTGTATTAGCAGACTTGTTATTTAGAGAAATCCATACTATATTGACTGTAAATAATGACAGTGAAGAAGTGAGGCTGTTTAAATAGCAGACCTGTTTGTATTCAGCAATGATCGCTGAGGTTTTCTTGATCTCCAGCTCTGCCTTCTCCAGCTCCCTCCTGAACACTTCTTTCAGCTGAGAGAGACAAAAAAAAGATGTCATAAACACGGATTTAAACATTCATGAAGAGTATCTGCTGACTGAGCTCAACACTGTTACATAATGTTTATACTTATGCAAATGTCAGAGTGACAGAATATCCTCGGCTGAAAACGGGGAACATTTTTGAAAACCACTGTGGAGATTTTCTCTGGAAAGAACTTTTGTCCTTTTATCGTTTTATTGAGAGAAACAGACACTCGATGGAGTAGAACATACAGCAAGGGGGTTTGATTCAGGAGTGCTGATTTGTACATGGGACACATAATTCAACTGCTAAACTAAACCCCATTATGCAGGTGTTTTCA